AGCCCCGGTGACGATGAAGCGCCTCACCAGGGAACCGCGGAGCAGATTTACCAGGCTAGCCTCTGGCCGTGGCGTTATCTCGGCATGCACTGCAAGCCGGAGGACGCGCTGGACTACGATGACCGTATCTACCCGCGTGCGGGCACCCGCATTGGCCCTAGGAACCAAGCCTCTGTCGGGCCCTGGCCAGGCCAACCTGTGCAGTACGTCAAGCCGTTGGAATTTAAGAAGGGCGGCAAGAAAGATCAGAAACTGCTCAAGGAACAGCAAGAGGCCGAAAGGGCTCGCCGGGGCCAGCGGCCGAAGTGGGTCCAAGATCAACCACCTGGATACGTCGCTCGCGGCGAGGACCTGGACGAAGATGACCCCAATTGCACGGCGGTGCTGCTGTGGAAGCCGCCCTCTGGAGATGACCCGTCTACCGCCAAAATCAACAGTTTTGTTGACGATGCCATGTCCAAGGCCAAACAGCTAGACCTTCCCGAGCGCTCCACAAACCTTCGTGATGCGGCGGTGGAAACCTTGTATCGCCAAGACTTTGATGACTCCAAGGCCCTCGCCGTGCTCTCTAAGAAGCCCAGGATCGAGTTCAAAGAGCCCAACTTGAGCCCTGCCGAGGTAAAGAGATTTGAAGAAGGTGTCTCAAAATTTGGCTCCGAATTGCATCTCGTCATGAAGCATGTCAAGACCAAGTCGCCTGGAGAGATTGTTCGGCATTATTATGCCTGGAAGAAATCAGAGAGGGGACAACAAGTCTGGGGCACTTTCCCGGGTCGCAAGGGGAAGAAGCAAGCGAAGCGTGAAGATGCTGCCGCTTCCAAGCTCGCTGATGATGTGGCCAACGACGATGACGACTCTGCGTTTGACGCGGACAAGGCAGTACAAAAGAAACGGAGCTTCATCTGTCAATTTTGTAACAGAACAAACGACCGGCAGTGGAGGAGAGCGCCCAATCCGCTTCCCGGACTGGTCAACGACCAGGGCCTCAAGGGATCTGGCAAGGACAAGGCTGGGAATCAATACGTTGTTGCTTTGTGCCGACGCTGCGCCGAATTGTGGAGGCGCTATGCCATTCGTTACGAGGTTATCGAGGAGGTGGCGAAGAAGGTTGCACAGGCTGGTGGCCGTGCATGGAAACGCAAGCAAGACGAAGAGCTCCTCAAGGAGCTGCAGCTCGCACATGAATTGGGCTACATGACCCCTGAACGAGCTCCGACTCCTTCTAAAGCTGCGGCTCAGCCTACCGAGACACAGGAGCCTCCTAGGAAGAAGCTCAAGGCTGCCGCCGACAAAGAGGCTGATGCAACCCCATCCGACAGCGGTAGCACTACCAGCGCAGTTCCTGCTAAAAAGAAGGAAAAAGCAGTGGTGGAGCCGCCCGCTGCCCCTGAAATGCCCAAGCCGCGGGTTCTTCCCTGTGCTATCTGTGATCAGATGGAACCAATGGGAGATCAACACCTCTCGTGTCGAGAGTGCCGCCTGACGGTTCATCGCAACTGCTACGGTGTTATCGATCACAAGGTGCAAGGCAAATGGGTATGTGATATGTGTGCCAACGATAAGAGCCCGCAAGTATCCATCGTAAGTCAAGTCAACTCCCCTCACATCGATTCATACTGACAATTATGTGATAGCAATACAAATGTGTTTTGTGCCCTGTTGAGCACACCGAGCATGACTTTGTAGAGCAACCCAAACTCACGCACCACAAGAAGAAGATGTCTGAGAAGGATCGGGAGCGCGAGAAATTGGAAGTCCAACAAGCCCGCAAAGCTGCCGAATTTTACCGCAAGAAGCAAGAAGACATGAACCGCCCTGTTAACCCTCGGGAGCCTCTCAAGCGCACCGCGGATAACAACTGGGTTCACGTCACTTGTGCCGTATGGACCCCTGAAGTCAAATTTGGTAACGCCAAGGCGATGGAACCATCCGAGGGCATCCCCTCCATCTCGAGGTCAAAGTATGACGAGATCTGCCAGGCCTGTAACCAACAGGGTGGAGCCTGTGTGCCCTGCCACCAGTGTCGTGCACCTTGTAAGTTTTCTTTTCTACTTCAGCTCTTGCTTGAAGCGGTCTTGGCTATGGCATGGTGCTTATGCTAATGAAATGATAGATCACGTTGAGTGCGCACGACAGAAAGGCCATGTTCTTGGTTTCGATATAACCCCTGTCAAAAGCTCCCGACGAGACCAGTTCAATATTGTAACGATCAACGGCGAGAGCGGTACCATGTCAGCCATGCTATGGTGTAAAGACCACGCTCCCACCAAGGCGATTGTTCATCGGATCCACGACGTGGCCAGCGAGTCTGGGCTGAATGCTCTTCAGCTTTACGTCCAGAACTTCAAGCAGGCCGATCTTACCTTGACAGGAACGGTCCGCAAGGCCACTCTGATGGCAGCGGCAGCGAAGCTGTCTGGAGCTCCAATCCAACCAGGGAACCGCAGAGCATCCACAACGACGACCCCCAACGGTAACACTTGGGCTCAGCCGCGCAATGGTGAAGTTGTTGACCCCGGATCCAACGCCCATCATCCAGGAGAAAAAGTCTGCATTACTTGCGGCATAGATGTCACGCTGAGATGGTGGCCTATTGACAACTCGCAAGAGCGGAAGCTCACCAACGGACATCACGGGGTCATTGGCTCAGAAGCGCAGAAGTTTGTTGAGCAGCGGAAATTCCAGTGCCACAAGTGCCACAAGTTGCGAAAGACTCCTCGCAGCCCGCGCCTGACTTTGCTACCCGGACCGTCGCCTCCGCCTCCCGAACTTGCGCGTCCCCAGCCAATGGAGACTTCCTTGATGACTCCGGTTCCTCCCATGACAGGCTCAACACCGCCGCCCCTGGTGGACTATCGTGACGGGCGCCATTCGAGCCACCCCCTTTCGTGGCCTCCTCCGCCGAGTTCACATGCTATGCCAGCCGGATCGACTCCGCCGTCTATGCCAGCGCTAGTTCACGCACCGGTCCAAGTGGCAGGACACCGCCCAGCTCCGGTATATCCACCTGCACCGTTGCCGCCGACCAGACCACCTGCTTATGGCGAGTGGGCACCGCATCGCCCTGGCAGTCAGCATGGCTCCCCTCCCCGTCATCTAAACGGGGGTCCTCCGCCTCCTCTCTTGCACAGCGGTCCCCCGCCGCCCCCGATGTCGAATCTTTCCGCTCTGAGACCACCTGCCATGGCTCCAAGCGGAATGCCTGGCGGTCACCCGCATGGACACGCATATGGAAATGGGCTTCCCCCGTCACCTCGACGCTTGAGTGGGCCCACTCCTCCGGCGCCGTATGTTCCTCCCCCTTACCACGGGCATACCGGCCACGGAGGACCCGTCCATCCCCCGGCTCACCTTATGGGCAACGGAGCACCCCCACCGCCGCCTCCTCCGCGAGCGGACGCATTCTCACACGGGCTACACCCTCAACGATCATCATATCCGCCAACCCCCCATGCGAGCGCTCCCATGTTGAGAAATGGGCCCCCGCCTCCACCGCCGCAGTCTCATGAGCCGCCTCCAGCATCCGTGGGACCGCGACCTCCAGACAGCAGGCCTGCCACAGGCGCGAGTACGAATCCATCTCTTCGCAATTTACTTTCTTGAGACATTGGTTAGGGATTCAGAATTAGCCCGCGGCGCATAAGACTGAGATATAGGAGTTGAGAATTGTTCTTTTTGCTTGACCGAATTCTGTATTTTCTTGTTTTGTTTAACCTTGTGTTTTTTTCTTAAAAAGAGCGTCACTGGATGAGAAGCTTGAAGTAGTGGTATTGTTATTATATGTTTAAAAGCCAGTTCTGCTTGGATGGCGTACTACGGAGTGGATTCTTTGTTACTGCCTTGTAGTAGATGATGACTGGATTCGTACAATAGACGATAATGCTTGATGCACGTCATGATTTAGGAAAAAAAAAGAATAATAACATATTATTGGAAGTGTTTGACTTGATTGCCCGCATATGGAGCTGTGAGGAAATCAAGCCTCAACTCGACCCTTTTCATGTGATTCCTCGTGACCGCACACCCTTTGCCACGATTTCTTTTGAAATACTTCTTGCTAATTCTGGTAGAGATGCTAGAGATACTCTCCTTTGCAAAGTCGTGGCAAAAGTCGACGATATCTGCCGTCGAATTGGTGGACACTTCTTTCCATTGGGGTCCCTTGGAGTTGTTGTTTGATTCTACTTCAAAAAAAATGTATTCTCAAAAAGCAATTAAGTGAACCCATTGAGAGAGAGAAACTATGAGATACAAAATGGCGATGGGATTTCTCCAATGGCAGCTGGAGATGGCCTCTTGCAGACTCGGTACGGCGTACTAAGCCACTCTTTGAAGAGCTTCTGGGGGTTGCTAAATTTAGAAGCGCCCTGGCTGATGACGCTCTGCCTCGTGTGTATTTTTAGTAAGATTTGTAGGTTGTATCTTGGGTGAAATATATACCCCAATTGAATCAAAGAAGAAAAAAAACATGCAGACTTAGGAATCTAGACGAGCTTATAGAAAGAATGTCTACCTTGTCCACCATCATCCTGTGCCCTCAATGACATGATTCATGACGTTTTGGGGAACCACAGGTGGGATGTTATTGCAGGCCGGATCTTGGGCAGCGATAGCAGCGGGTATTTCGAAGAATACAAGTTAAGATGAAGGCACTTTACTTTGATCCCAGAATGTAGTCTCTATGATAGTTACCTGTAATTATTAGATAGATATAATTGAAGGGTACGAGCCAATGCTTGGGACAGTTCGTCATCAATCGCCTCTTCTGAAACGCGCAAGGCTGGGCAGTGCTGGGGTAGGTGGGGCTGAGTCTTTGTGGGAGGGAGCTCTTACTCTTACAGTACTTGTGGCTGACACGATTTACATGTACCAACACTAACAAATGTGTGACAGCTGCCAAGTTACATTTTGTTTCTTCTTCTTCTTCTTCTTCTTCTTCTCCCACCTGTTCCTCTTCCTCTTCACATGTCCATTCAGCCCAAACATCGCCCATCGTCACCATGGCGCAGATCTTCGCTGATTTGTTTTACTCGTTTGGCAATTGCCTCAACTGCTTCCCGGGCTCCCCGACGCTCAAGATCAACAGCCGGAGCTTCAAGATTCAGCGTCTACTAGGCGAGGTGCGCAAAAACAACAACAACAACAAGAAGCCTCACTTGTTCTTCTCTCAGTCTCTCGCAGCAGTAAAACAAAACAAATGTAGCTAACAAAGGCATCGTTCGAACAGGGCGGCTTCTCCTACGTCTACCTCGTCGAAGACACATCCACGCACGAGCTCTTCGCCCTCAAAAAGATCCGATGCCCCTTCGGCGCCGAGTCCGTCCAGCAGGCCATGCGCGAGGTCGACGCCTACCGCCTCTTCGACCACGTTCCCACAATCATCTCGGCCTACGACCACTGCGTCGCCACCGACCGCGGTGGCGGTTCTGGTGACGACGCCAGCAAGACCGTCTACGTCCTGCTGCCCTACTACCGCCGCGGCAACCTGCAGGACATGATCAACGCAAACCTCGTCAACCACAACCGCTTCCCCGAGCGCCAGCTCATGATGCTCTTCCTCGGCGTCTGCAAGGCCCTGCGCGCAATGCACGAGTACCAGCCCGCCCCCGCCGAGCGCATGCAGATGGGCCGCGAGGAGGACCATGACGAGGCTGCCGAGGGGGGATCTGGGTCTGGGTCGAGAGGCGGCCGCAAGCTGGGCACGAGTGGGAAGCGCACCGAGGAGGAGGAGCAGGGCGAACACGAGCGGCCGCTGATGGACTCGGAGAACCGCATTGAGGGCGAGGCCGGCGGCAAGATCAAGTCGTATGCGCACCGAGACATTAAGCCAGGTAACGAACAAAACAAAAGCCGCTTCATTGGTTACGTTGACTGACTTGTAAACCACCCCAGGCAACATCATGATTGACGACTCGGGCTCCATCCCCATCCTCATGGACCTCGGCTCCGTCGCCGCCTCGCCCACCCCCGTCACCTCCCAGTCCCTCGCCCTGCAAATCCAGGACACCGCCGCCGAGCACTCCACCATGCCCTACCGAGCCCCGGAGCTCTTCGACGTCCGTACCGGCACCGTCGTCGACACAAAGACGGACATCTGGTCCCTCGGCTGCACCCTCTACGCCTGCCTCGTCGGCAAGTCGCCCTTTGAGATGCGCTCCGACGAGACCGGCGGCACCCTCAGCCTCTGCGTCCTCGGCGGCGACTGGCGCTTCCCCGACGAGAACCCCGGCGGCGGGCCGAAGCGCACAAACACCATCCAGGCCGCAAAGGCAAAGGCCAGCGGCGAGGCCGGTCCCGGCGCCGGTGCCTCTTCCGGAGACGTCGTCATCAGCGAGCCTATTCGTAATCTTGTCCGGGCCTGTCTCAAGGTTGAGCCTGCGGAGCGGCCCGACATAAATGAGCTCATCACCATGGTTGAGCAAGTCATTGATGAGCTGCCCGAGGGTGACTTTACATCATGACGTAGATAGTTGGTTTTCATTCTGTTTTTTTTTTTTTTTGCTTGTTTATTTGTTTGGGGATATTGGATGCAAATGCGAGCCTGCACATACCATTCGAGTTTGATGGAGCTGTCTGTCTAACTATTCATGACATATCACTAGGGAGGCTTTGGCGTTATGACGGACTGAATGATTCATTTAGAGAAACGGAGACGAATGCTCGTAAAAAAGAATTACTATTTCCTAACAGAGACTTTGTGATACAATACACTGTTCCTCACTGTCACACATCACAAATTGAACGCAGCACCTGGTCAAGTCGCCTCGTATCCCAGCATTATGCGAATGGTAGACCCGGGGCATATACAAGCGTCGTTGCTGTCCTACAGCTGTAGCTTGTATGTTGCCACCTCAAACGGCCGAAGAACAATGTTAAACTTGCCATCCGCCAAGGAAACCTCTTCGATTTCATCCTCCAGAATGTTGACCTTGGTGACGCGCTTCACGTTGAACTCGGTTTGAATGGTGCCTCGGCTGCGTCCGCCCAAGGATTCGTACAGGCGGACGATAATGCTCTGGCCGCCGTTGACGCGAAGGCCCTCGCGGCGGCTAACGTCCTCGTCGTCGTGGCCTCGCTTGATGGTGTCCAGAATGATGGAAGCAGACTCATCCGAGTTGATGAGCTGGATGGGGACGCTGGTCAAGCTTTCAACCGCAGCCTTTGGTGCGGACAAGACCTTGAGAGGGTTGTTAAAGGCATAGCCCGCTCGGACCGTTGTCGCCGACAGAGCTCCCTTGTGAGGAAGAATGGCCCATCGGATCGAGTGGCGGCCCATATCCGCGTGCTCATCGGGGGCCTTGGGGGACCGAAGTAGAGATAGGCGCATGAGCTTGCCGGCCGTAGCAAAACCGTACTTGCTATCGTTGAGAATGGATACTCCATAGTTGTTCTCCGACAAATCGGCGAACCTGTGGCAGCAAACCTCAAACTTGGCCATGTCCCAGCTCGTGTTGTAGTGCGTTGGCCTCTTGGTGATGCTGTACGCGGACTCATACGAGGCTTCCGTGTTGACAATGTCTACGGGGAACTCTACCTTGAGGAACTTGGAGTTTTCGTGCCAGTCCACCTCGGCCTTGCATTCAACCCAAGACTGCTGGCCTTTGAGAGCCGCCGACAGAGTAATGTAAGACTTGATCGAACTGTGCTTGCTGATCTGAATCTCAGTGGCGAGAGTGACGCGGTGGGGTTTCACCTCGTGGAGGCTTGTGTTGCCGTAGCTGAGCTCTCGGCGGGTCTCGAGATGATAAACCTCGACATCCCAGGCTTCCCAGAAGAGAGGAATGTCATCAAAAATGACAAACTTGTTCGCCTTGCCACCCTTTTCGATGGTTTCGCGGTCATTGACACGGTCGTACAATGAAGTGATGCAGCCACCCTCAACAACAACGCGGAGGTCTTCGTTTTCCAAGATGAACTGGCTGCCCACCTGTTGTACTGAAACAGCCGGCTTATCCTCCTGGATCTTGAAGTTGCGGAGAGCAAGGAGAGGGCCTTGTCCACAAGCAACGCTAACCTGTGTATCGGACACCTCAACAAGCTCCTTGCGATGCCAAGGCAGCGTGTTGAGGACCACCGACTCGTGGCCATCGGCTTTTGAATCACTGGCACCCAGGGCCTTGTAGATTTCCGAAAGTAGCTTGTGGCCAGTCTCAAAAATGTCCTTGTAAATCTAATGACTAGTTAGCATGAAATATTCAGGAGGGACAAGACAGGCCTCTCACCTTGTCAGAGTCGTCATAGCACATTTCGATGGAGCTACCGGGAAGACAGTCGTGGAATTGGCATAGGAGGACGCCCTCCCACATGGTATCAATCTTTTCAGTAGGGTACTTGTACGACTTGTTCTTGATCGAGGCCAGTGTGGCGAGCTGCTCAAGGTCTCGCATCAAGACTTCAGCCTTGCGGTTGTAGTACTTGTTGTTGGCCTGCGTGGTGTAGGTGCCTCGATGGAGCTCAAAGTAGAGCTCACCATACCATGTTGGAAGGTCGTTGGCCTTTGGAGCAAGGCGATCAAAAAAGTCATCGACACTGAGGCCGAGCTTCAGCTTTGGAATGCCTCCAATGGTGTTGCTGATTCCCGCAATTCGTCGAAGCTTCTCCAAGTGCTGCCAAGTCGGGCCGCCGCCGCCATCGCCCTTGCCGAACACCAACAGCGATGAATTGTCGACACGAAGAGTCTTGTGTTGGGTGACGCTGCGTCTCAAATCACCAAAGTCGGCTTCAGCAGTGTATGTCTCGGACGGAGGCATGTGACAAATGACTTGGCTTCCGTCGGGACTCACCCACATAAAGGTAGTGTGGGGGAAGTTGTTGATATTGTTCCAGCTTAGCTTCTGAGTCATGAAGCGGTCCATGCCGGCCAAACGACAGAGTTGGGGCAGCTGGCTGGAGTAGCCAAACGTGTCGGGAAGCCAAAAAGTACGGCAGCGTGACCCAAATTCTGCCTCGAAAAACCGCTGGCCGTAGAAGAATTGACGCACCAGAGACTCGCCACCGGGCATATTGGTATCGTGTTCGACCCAGCTGCCGCCGATGGGGTGGAACTGACCCTCGCTCACCTTGCGTCTCACACGATCAAAGGCCTTGGGATATAATTGTTTCAACCATTTGAACTGCTGAGCCTGCGAGCAAGCAAAATGAGCCTCCGGATACCGGTCCATCAAATCACACTGGCTTGACCACGACCGAGCCACTTTGCGCCTCGTCTCTGCAAAGGGCCATAGCCAGCACGAATCGATGTGGCAGTGACCAATGCCGAAAACGACGGGCTCTGGACCAACTTCATACACCCGATGAGAGTCGGCATCGGGGCCAATGATTTCCTGCGCGAGTTTTCGACACTCGAGAATGGACTCTTGGTTATTCACTTCGAAGGTGTCGATAATCTTCATGGCAACAGACAGCGCTCGCCCCTGTTCCGCCGAGTTCTCAGGCAGCTCTCGAGCGGCGTCCCCAAGCTCCCACATGTCAAAGTAAAGACCGCGCGCAGGAACGTTGACGGCAACGATGTCGGCCTTTGTAAGACCAAAATATCGATTGGGGTCTGGCGGCATAATGCTGTTTTTACCGTTTGGCGCGTTTCCAAACATCCCGTTACAAGCCATCTCGATGTAAATAGTGTGCGGTTTGCCGTCGCGGAACGAGCGAGGAATTACCCATTCGATCCTCTCGCCTCCACCAGTCAAGCCTTGGAGCGGCATACCATCCTCTGTCCACACAAGACCTTCATTGTTTGCGTCCCACTGGAGCTCGAGCAGCTCTTCGTCGGCGATTGCCTCAGGGACAGTCAAGACCACCCTGAACCAATGAGTGGACCATGAAGGTCCGAAGGAGGCGCCAATGTGTGTCTCCTTGAATTGCTGGGAAACTGCATGCTCAAAGGTTGGTCGTTCTTGTCCGGGAGCGCTCCAAACAGAGAGCTGAACGTGTGGCGCGCCCGAGTATCTGGCATTGTAGAGGCTCCTACACGGAAGGTGTCAATAGGCCGACATCAGGAGGACAAAGGAGCTTCAGGAAGACGTACGCTAGCAAGTTCACCTTGTCATACTGTCCTGATTTGTAGAATGGCTCAATGCGACCCTTGAGAATGCTAGTTTTAGGGACGCCGACAGGCCGTTGCGCAAAGACCGGGTAGGAGATGTTGCTCCTAACTTCGCCGCCGCCACCCATGGTGAGAAGGTCGTGCCCTGGAGCCGGCGGTGCTGATCGATTGGACAGTCGCCGAAGCTTGCCCGGCAGAGGCTGGAGGTTGTCCGGAGAGGGTGAATGCTGTGGGCAATCGGAGGAGACGGGGAGGAGATGGCCGATCAAGCTGTCGGTGTAACTGCAGAGTCTAATCAGCGAGTTGAAACAAGCAGCAGCCCGGACGCTCAAGAGCGAATTCCTGGCGGTCGATTCTTAAGGGGTGTGATTGAATAAAGGAAGAAGAGGTGTGCCAGCAAGGTGAATTCGGGATTATATATGGATAATAAAATAGTGCAGAGCTCTAGCACCCTGCGATGCGCGGAACCTGCGTCGGGGAAGCTCTTGGCTGTCACCGCTGTGGGGAGGTGGAGGTGGGGAGACCGCTTCAAAGATTCCCGTTTCCCAGGCGATGTAACAATTCATGGGGCGCTAATGACGGAGAAGCTGGCGCTGCGTGCGGGGGAGTTTTTGGGCCGATCCGCCTCCTCTCAGGGGTCATGCCATGGGCTGGAATGATGCTTCAGGCCCCAGGGCGGGAGTACGGAGTACGCACCTCATGATTGCAATGTTGCTTTGACAAGGAATAGGTAAATAATCGAATATGCAAAGATGGAGCTCAAAGTACCAAGGATGGCCAAGGATGGAAGAAGGTATTCAGGATTGAACAGAGTAGAATAGGGACAATTCTCAAGCAGACAGGGTTGATGGCGATTAGGTGAGAAGCGGCGCCGCAGACGTAACCCCAGAGCCGAATCGATCGAGTGTCAAGATTCTCAACGTACTCTGTATAGGCCAAGTATGGCCAGACTCTGTGCAAGACGAGGATTAACCAAGGGAGGAATGCGGGAGAGTCAAGGCCGATCTGGATTCGGCCACAGGGCAGAGCTTCTCCGAAACGTTATTCTGTAAGAGGCTGGCGGCTATAACGGATACGAGGCGAGGGTCCGAAACTGTAGATACAATCAAATATAATGGAGAGAGAGAGAGAGAGAGAGAGAGGATGAAAGAGATGGGAAAAAAGTCCCCCAATTCTGCAGCATTAGTATTGGGTACAATTGGCAGGTTGGTAAAAGCCGAGCTCGAGAAGGAGAATGTCCTGCGGCTGCCCAACCAGCTCCTTCCACTCACCTAGTACCAAGTACATACCTCGATACGATACGATACAATACGATACATGTACCAATCAGGGAGAGGATAGAAAAAGATATAACTATAATAGCAGTTACTAGGTAGAGAAATATAGACACAGTACCTAGTAGTGAAAATATAGGTAGCTACCGTACTCCGTAGCAGATACTTAAAAACCAGGCGTATCATTTACCCCGTGTGTCTTTGAAATCTTCTCGGCTTTGGTTTTTCTGTCCTCTGCTTGCCAATGCACTCTACCAGATTCCCTTCCATCTTCTTGCACAACACCCCTTACACCTTATATCATCCTGATCAACACCATCCTTTATGCTATTATTTTACCCAATTCAGAGCTATGGACACGCAGCTGCTGGCAATTGGCGCCGCCGTTCGTTCTCCAAATTCCGCAGTGGCGCTTCCACGGCGCTTCAGGCACCGGCATCCCGCCTGTTGGTGGGGCCGGGCCTCTATCACGGCCTCGACACCTAAAAAAAACAACCAACCAACCAACCAACCCACTCGATGGAAATTCATGCTCACGAGCTCAATGTCGAGGGTTTCACGACTTTCCAAAGGTTCGACAACGGAGCAGGTGATCTTGTCAAGTGAGCTGGAATGCTTCGTCAACGCACCATTCATGGCTTTTGGTCTCGGCCCTTCTATGCTCGCCGCTCATCGGCACCGGCTCTAAGAGCTGCGTTTGCCTTGCAGCCTTTTACCACTTCTGCCCATCTTCAAGCTGCCGCAAAGCGAAAGAAGACGACTATCAAGCTTTCTGACTTGCCTCAGGGGAAAATTGCTGCGAGTCCCCTTGCACAGGAGGAACAAAATGGGCCGGCCTATCCAACCGTCATACTCCAAGCGCGCCGTCATATGGACAAGTTTGACAAGTGTGTTCTCATCACAAGAGTGGGCGGTTTCTATGAGCTCTATTTTGAGCATGCCGAGGAATACGCGTCGCTGCTCAGCCTGAAGCTGGCTTCTAAGAAGACAACTGCTGGACCTGTGCCTATGGTAAAGTCTTTACCCCCCTCTTTTGCTGTGCATGCTTCTATTTTGCACACACAACACCTGACAAATTCGAGCCATGCTAATCAGAGTATACAGGCTGGATTTCGGTCTATCCATGCTGACCGATATCTGAAAATCCTCGTTCAAGACTTGAATCGCCACGTCGCTATAGCCGAAGAATTCCCCAACGATGCTTCTGAGAAGATCAAGTCGGGTGGCCTCATGCACACTCGTCGAGTTACCCGAATTATCACTCCGGGAACTCTCATTGACGAGAATTTTATTGACCCTTACGCCAATAACTACATCATGGCAATTCACGTTCCTCAGAACGATCCTGATGGAAATATACAGCCAGACACTTCCTCGTCTCACCAAGCTTCAGATGTCATGGGCGTAGATTCTACACCTATAGGTCTAGCATGGCTTGATCTTTCCACCGGCCAGTTCTTCACCCAGTCCACAACCTTGTCATCTCTTCCGTCCATCTTGTCCCGAATAGCCCCACGAGAAGTTGTTCTTGAGCAGTCATTCGAACTAAAACAAGATCACGACGTTTTCTCAATATTGACAGACAACCGGCATCTCGTCACATTTTCATCTGATGGGGGCCTAGTGAAACTTGATGACTGGGCACCACATCTGGAATCAGAAATCTCCCAAACTTTACAAACGTCCTTTACAGATGACGAAATCATCGCGGGTGGCCTAGCGCTGAATTATGTTAGGAATCGGCTGCAGGAGACGAGTATGAAGCTTCAGCCACCTCTGCGCTATGGGAATATGCAGACGATGACAATCGACAAGAACAGCTTGAGGGCACTGGAAATCAAACAAACCATCCGCGATGGTTACTTCCGGGGCAGTCTTCTTCATGCGATACGCCGCACGGTTACGAAGAGTGGCGCTAGGTTGCTCAATGAATGGCTTGGCTCTCCGTCCACATCTCTAGAGGTGATCAAAGCTCGACAAGACCTTGTCGCTCGTTTCATGGAATTAGGCGATCTCAGAGATTCTTTGGTCGTTATGTTACGGCTAAGCGATGATTGCCAAAGACTTGTTCAAAGATTTGCCTTGGGAAGAGGCGAGGCCGATGACTTACTTGGAATAGCCAACACGATTCGTGCAGCTGAAGAAATCACGATTTTGTTGAAAGAAGCATCGAGAAGAGAGAATACATCTTCTTCATCAGACTGTATTGATACGCTAGCGTCTCGGATTGAGCTTGAAGAGCCGCTTAAACTTGCCCATAGGATTCAAGAGTCAATAGACGAGGAGGGCATCGCCCAGCAGCAGGCAGTAGAAGATTCCGAGGCAGAAGAAGCTATGGCTCAAGCTGAAAATATTGTTTCTTCCGAAGGCTCCCCGGAGGATGTTGCTGCTTTGACCAAAGGAAAGAGGAAAAAGCGAAGCACCATCAAGGAGGAGCAATACGGCGAAGATAATCGGCCGTGGATTATGAAGCCAACTGCGAGCAAAGAGCTTCAGAGTCTTCATGACAGTCTTGCATCGCTTTTAAAGGACAAGACTACTCTTGGAGAAGAACTTTGCGAACGATTTCGAGCACCAAGCTTGACCCTTAAATGGGCACCAACCGTCAGCCATATCGCCCATATTAAGGAGAAGGACGCCAAAAACCTTGCCCAGATAAAGACCGTCTCTTCAAGCCGTAGCACGAGATCATTCCAGCTTGATGAATGGACAGCTCTTGGTCAGCGTTTGGAACAAGTAACGTTGCGAATTCGCCGCGAGGAGCAGCGTGTTTTTCACGCCCTACGCGAACAAGTTGTTAAGAACTTCATCAAGCTACGGCACATTGCAGCCGTGCTGGACGAAATCGACATTGCAACATCGTTTGCGAAAATAGCTCTTGAGCAGAATCTCATCCGTCCCACCTTGACTGATTCAAGGACTCACATCATCATGGGTGGTCGGCATCCCACGGTGGAAAGGGGTCTGTTGGAGCAAGGCCGTCGATTCACTCGCAACGACTGTATAGTCGGACCATCCCCAAACGGCCAGATTTGGTTCATTACTGGGCCGAACATGGCCGGCAAGAGCACATTTCTTCGCCAAAACGCCTTGATTACAATCATGGCCCAGATTGGATGCTATGTCCCTGCTTCGCATGCTGAAATTGGCATTGTTGATGCAATCTTCAGTCGCGTGGGCTCCGCCGACAGCCTATACCACGACCAGAGCACTTTCATGGTTGAGATGCTCGAGACGGCCCAGATTCTAAGACAAGCCACGCCACGGTCTTTTGTCATAATGGATGAAATAGGTCGAGGAACCACACCAGAGGACGGTACAGCAATCGCATTTGCCTGCCTGCACCATCTCGTGACCATTAACCAATGCAGGACTCTGTTTGCGACACATTTCCATGATATAGCCGACATGGCAGCTGCCGAGGGATTCTGTCACCCAAAACATGGCCCCGTCCAGACCTACTGCACGGATATCAAAGAGAATGAAGATGGAAGTTTCGTCTACGTGCACAAACTACGGCCAGGGGTCAATCGCCAGAGCCATGCTCTCAAAGTGGCCCGTCTGGCTGGAATACCGCAGCACGCAATTGACATTGCTCAGAATGTGTTGGATGCTACGGAGGCAAAGGAGAGCAAGTCTCGTGGCATTGCATAAATCATGGGCAAATCGCATCTACGATTACAAGTTCGTTGAAAGTCCTGTAAAATCTTTTGCTAATTAGCCTTGGTTCGTCTTGAAAGCATTGCAATGGAATATTGGTAAACATAAGGGTTAGAGTCATAAGGTGTTGTTGAATATTTGTTTTCATCAGGAGATTTCAGGGTTAAAAAGCTCATGAATAAATTTATAATCATCCAAGGCCAGATAGGGTGTGTTCACTAGAAAAAAAGAAAAGAGACTAACCTTTTGTTAATGAGTGGTTTCCAGCCATTACCATCACAATTCGACATATGCACAAGTTGGCCCATTTTTCATTGTTCAATAGTTGACTTGCAACTTTCATTGATTTTTCGTGTCTCATGTAATCATTGCGTTGGCCCTAATTTGACCAAGCAATGACTTATGCACCATATTCAGATCCATATACCGTGAAACAAGCCGAACAAGCCCTGAAAGCCGACCCAGTACCGTTATTGATTGTTTAGTCGCTATTAAGCCTGTTAGTTTTGGTTTCAAAAGAGATTTCAAGGGCATCACATACAAGAGACCGCCGAAGCCCTCCTCATCCTCCTCCTCGGACTCGTCCTTCTTCTCCTCAGCGGCGGGAGCGGCAGCAGCAGCACCGGAACCACCAGCGGCGGCAACCGGAGCGGCGGCAGCGTAGGCATCAGGGTTGGCAATGCGGTCCTTGAGCTGCTCAATCTCGGGCCAGCTGATCTCGGTCTCAACGGCAACAGCCAGGACCTTCTTGTAGGAGTTGACAAGAGAGTGCATGACGGAAGGCAGGGTGGGGAAGTTGATGGCCAGGGAGATGGTGGCAACGGTGGTGATGGCGGTGCTCAGGGCCTTGAGGAGCTGGTCCTCGCCAATGTCGAGGATGGAAGGAGGGAAGGTCTGGCCCTGGTCGTAGACCTGAGCGATACCCATACCGTAGGTGAAGGGAGAGATGTTGAGCAAGTTGAGCAGCGAGGCCTCGGAGGGGCCGACCTTGTTGCCGGCTTCGATGAGCTTCAGATCGGTGGTAATTTCAATGGTACCACGAGCGATCTTGGTGGGGACACCGAGAGCCTGGAAGAAAGAGGTCTTGCCAGGCTCCATGCCGGTGTTTCCAGCAGGAACCCACACATCGACGGGCGCGACGGCACCAGCACGAGCGGGAGCAGCGACACGGTTGGCGAGAAGCTGGTCACGGACGTCCTTGAGTTCGCCGTTGGTGAAGACGAAACCGACGTTGCCCTTGACGAAAGGCAGGATACGCTCGTACTCGGGAGTATCGACGAGGAAGGTCCTGAGAGCTCGGCGAACCTGTTCAAAGCAAAATCCATTCCATTAGCCTTGCTTCCTTTGAAAAATCTGGGGTTGTTCCAGAAATTTGCGCAATTGCCATACCATGGTGTTCTTGCCCATCAGGACAACTCCCGTACCACGAAGGGAGTGTCGGATCTCGTGCATCTGCTGCGAGGAGACATTGTCAATCTCGACGATGAAGATGGACTTGTAGTCTTGGAGCAAGCCCTTGAGCTTGTCGAAGTAGCCGGCCTTGTTTGCTGATTTGCCCCCCATATCTTCTTTTTTATGAAGGCAGGTTATTTAAGGGCAAAAGGGTATCTTGGTATATGGGAATTTTGGTGACTAGATGTCTATCGCGAAAAAAAGAAGAGACGAGCCAAATTTCCGGATTTTGCAGCCAGTGAGAAAATGTGTGTCGAACGGCTAGGGCATGGCTTTGCTAGCCTGATTTGGGCAAGCGGTGAGAGCTGGACTTCTTTGTCAGCGCTTGGGTGGGGCCAGTACGTACCGTTTTACATGTGGCAGGCACTTCAGTGCAGAGGTGGGCAGGCAGCTGAAGCTAAGGTACAAGCGGGAAGTATCTTTTTTTTCAGAGCTTGTCGAAAAAAAGTTGATGATACGCCAAAGGATCTCAATACGTGATTCCTTCAAGCTTCAATTGGATGTCACTCATTTCAACTTTCACATTCAAAGCATTTATAGAAAATGAAGACTCCTTATAACAAAGTCCACGTCCACGGACAGGTTCTCTTTGCTGCTCGTGGAGGCGCAATCCATACCTTCAATCTCACAGACGGCAGCCACATCTCATCATGGAAGCATCCCGACGCCGACAAAGTTGCACAATCTATCAAAGCCATAAACGAGGCCAAAGCCGAAGCTGCACTCACGATAGAGGCGGACAATCTAGTGACTGAAAGCGATGGCCCGCCAGCTAAACGGCAAAAGCTGGATGGTGACAGTGGGGGCGCTTCAGTAAATGCAGAAGATTCTGCTCCTACGACAGCTCAGGATGAAAAGCCCCAGGTCGGCCATTTCGACGGCAGAGGGAAGAAGGGCAAAGGGAAGGCTGCAAAAGATTTTGATAATGGCAAAACCCGTTTCGCTCGTGTGCCTGACCGGCCTGTGATCACTCATCTAACAAGTACTCCCGATGGAAGCCATGTGGTGGCCATAACAGGACACGACAAGATCATCTGGGTGTTTGAGCATGATGGACATGGCCAGCTGAAGCAGCTTAGCCAAAGGTATGGATATCGCTCATCACAATTGCCCTTTAGGATTGACCCGTATTAAGACATATGATATAGGACCATGCCCAAGCGACCAAGCGCAGTTGCCATTGGACCAGACTCTCAGATCATCAGCGCCGACAAGTTTGGAGACGTCTACGCCATACCTCTCATTATCCCAGCCGATGGATCAAAGTCTTTGGCATCACAATCATCTCTACCCCTGCCCTCCAAAAAGTCCTTTAAGCCCACTGCCACCACACTCACCGTCCACTCCAAAGGCAACCGTCTCGCTCTTCTCAACCAGATCAAACAAGCCGAACTCGCCAACGAATCCAAGGACGGCAACGGCGGCCCCGGTTTCGAACTCAACTTGCTGCTGGGACACGTCTCCATGCTGACTGCCCTTGCTCTCGGCGAGCAGCAGGGACGCAGATACATCATCACAGCAGACAGAGATGAACATATCCGGCTGTCACGCTACATTCCCCAAGCACACATCATTGAAAACTTTTGCTTTGGTCACAAGGAGTTCATCAGTGACATGGTTATCCCTACGGCCAAACCAGAGATCCTCATCTCCGGAGGCGGTGATGAAGATATCTTCGTTTGGAACTGGCTCGCCGGCAAGCAGCTTTTCAAGACAAGCATCCTCTCTCTCGCCCAGGAAATTGCTCCCGAAACTGCAACGATTGCCGTCTCGGGTCTCTACACTCTGCCTTATCCCTCCGAAGACGGCCCCATGACCTACATATTGGCCATCTGTGAAGAGTAAGTGTTTCACTTCATCAACAGTCCAGTCACAGCAACTCATATACTAACAAACATTTACAGCATCAAAGCAATTTTCTCATGGAAACTCAACGAAAACAACGAGCTCCACTGCCCAGGCATCATCCAACTCCCCGGAAAGCCCCTCTCCCTCACCATCTCCCCCAGCGACGACGCCGCTCCCACCGTCATCGCCGCCATTGAACCCGATGCGGAAACCAAAGCTCAAAGCCTCCACGCTTTCCGCCTGACCATGACCAACGGCAGACTGGCCGTGGATGTTGAATCCTGCTTCAAGGACAAGGAAGTAGAGGCAAACGAGCCCGAAATTAGTCAAGAGGACGTCCGAGGGCTTTTGTACACTGTCGAGAGCCTGCGGAAGGTGGTCACTGGCGGGCCGGACGAAGAAGGGGGCTCGGAAACACCGCAGGGCAATGTTGATAGTGACGTGGCTGTAGATGATGCAGGTGATGGCGAGGAGTAATCTAGTCTTGATAGTATTCGATTCCGCTGCAATTGCAAGATTCTATACCAATCATCTTTACGTTGAAAAAATGTGGCTATATCTAGGTACTTCATTACAGGTAGTAGTACCTGACACTGTGTAGCTGTTACTGGGATGCTGCATAGAAGAGAGAGAGAGAGAGAGAGAGAGAGAGAGAGAGAGAGAGAGAGAGAAAGAGAAAGGCATGCTTGATGTCGTCGTATTCATAGTCTAAGTCTGCAACAACTCAACTTAAAAAAGCTCGTCAAATCGTCTATGCCCCCTAAACGCCCTCCAACCTAGTCATGCAGTCCAAAAAGCACCCTAGTCCATAATAATGGTCGGCAAAATGGACATGCCCGTGATCGTCCCTCAGCGCGCATCCCTCGCCTTCCCAAGTGCAGATGGTATCAATGAGAATGCGAGAAAAAAAACCCATGTGCTGCGGGAGAGAATGAAATGACGTCAAGTTGTCAATTTCCCAATGAAACCAAAACAGTATCCTCCGCCTGCTTCACACGCCTGTTGCCTCTGGAAAGAGGGGGGCCGTCCAATGCCTCATGGCGTCAGCGTGCATCCATGGTCCGCTCTCCTTTTCTATTTTTAGCCCCAAGTTATATATAGGTATATATTGGCTCTGCTTTACTGCGACGCGCACTGGACGCGCTCGCCGCCAGGGTGGCCATCCTCGTCCTCGTCCTCTCCCATGGAGTTGGGGTCTCCGAAGACCTTGGTCTGAGCCTTGGTATCCATGTCTTCCAAATCAGCAGGCTCCGTCATGGCCTCAGCAGGGGCAGCAGGCTGTGATGTAGGGGGTGGCAGAATCTTGCGGAGAGTCTCGAACGCCTCGGCATCGTCGGTCCAGTTCTTCTCCGGGAACTTGACATCGAAGCGGATGTAGAGGTTACCATAGTCATGGTGTCTATATGAGGGCATACCTTGACCGCGGACCATCTTGACAGAGTCTAGAGAGAGGTGTTAGTCTTGCCGTAAAATTGAAGCAAATGTGGAGTAAGAGTGATACATACCAGGTGCAATAGCCTCTCCAGGCAGGATGTCAATGCTGAGCCATCGGTCATCCAGGTGCTCGACGTAAATGGTACCACCAGCAAGGGCAGTGACCAGCTCAATTTCGCATCGGTAGAGGAGATCGTCCTCCTTGCGAGTGAAGCGTGCGTGGGGCTTCTGCTCAATCTCGAAGACAACGTCACCGGCCTGAACGCCGGGAGCCTGATCACCTTCGCCGCGGAACTCGACCTTGGTGCCGCTTCGAACACCCCTGTCGACGTGGACGTGGAGGACCTTTCGGTCAACTGTGGTCTTCTTGCCGTTGCACTGTTTGCAGCGATCCTTGTCCTTGATGATTTCTCCCTCACCATTGCAGTCGGGGCAAACGGTCTGGAAGCGCTGGATCATGGGACCCATCTGGCGCATCATGGTCTTCATACCGGCTCCGTTACAGCCAGTACACTTGCGGACGGCGCCATCCTTTCCTCCGAGACCGTCGCACTTGGGGCAGATGATGGACCGCTGCAGGGCCAGCTTGGAAATCTTGCCTCGGTAGATGTCCTCGAGGGAGACCTTGTGGGTGTGGTGAATGGTGCGAGCCTTGGGAGGGCCACGGTTCTGCATGCCACCGAACATGCCACCCATGCCGCCGAAGCCGCCACCGCCAAAGAACTGAGCAAACAGATCCTCAGCGGCCATGCCGCCGGCACCACCCGCACCGCCTTCTAGACCAGCCTCACCATATTGATCGTAGATCTGTCGCTTCTGAGGATCGGAAAGGATCTCGTAGGCGTGCGAGATCTCCTTGAACTTTTCTTCGGCAGCGGGGTTGTGTGCGTTCTTGTCTGAAGAAAGTGCATGTTAGAAATCATGTTGTTTGTAATGAACAGTCATCGGGGTAATAGCGTACCAGGGTGGTGCTTCAAGGCACCAATCTTGTAGGCCTTCTTCAACTCCTGCTCCGTAGCTGTGGGAGCGACCTAGTATCAAGCGTGTTAGTCTCTTCGTCCAGATCCGCGCCGCGGCAGCGTAGCGAGGCCAATACATACACCAAGGGTGTCATAAAGCTTTGACTCCTTCACCATGGTGCCGGATTATAGAATATCAAAAAAACTGATCTTTGTATGCGCCAAAAAGAAATGAAACCGACAAGAGCGACGGCAAGCGTTCGACGATGATAAAAGAGGCTCTGTGGAAGAGTGATTAGTCAGAGCTGATGAGAAGAGTCCGCAGTAACCGAGCGCCCGTGGAAACTTCTAGGCAACGAAGAGCAAAGAGAAGAAGAGCAAACTTGTGCTATCGTGCCGAGTTTGGAAACGAGGTTGAAGGGATTACGTTGCGAAACGCTGGTGGTGACGGTGGAAGAAGGTGGAAGCCGTGGCCAGCGATTGCGCCGAGGGGCAAATGCTGATAAAAAACGGCCCTTGTGGTTTTTATCGTACCTGAGAAAGTAGCCCAGCAGAAAAAAAAAAGATAGCGTGCCTAGAAAGCCGCTGAGGGAACGGTGGGGCGTTGGAGAAATTTGCGGGATGAAGAGAGTTGAAGTTTGTTCTTTTTCTTGCTCGAGAATGAGGATTCGAGAGAAGGCGAGTGAAGCGGCGAAGAGCAAGACGGTGAGATTCGGCCGGTCTGGTGGTTTATTTGAAAGAAAACGAAGAGAAGAATGTTCCGGTCAAGGGAAGCGGCCTTGGTCAGTAGCCAAGGGCAGATCAAGCGCCGCCTTGGAGGATTAAAAGGGCGGCTGCAGGGGTCCCAAGGCTGGTGCGCCTCATGGAATTGTATCGAAGAAAGTCGATGGTGTGGCGGTGCCCGATAACGCAAAAAGCTGGCAACCTTTGTGCTGCCACGCGGGCTAGCAGCGGGTACCGCCGAGTATTTGTTTGTCACTGTACGGAGTACAGCCCAGCCGAGCTTGACATTGGCTCGGAGGGAGGACATTGAATGAGAGCGGTAGCACGATAGGTATTGTGATTGTGATTGCGATTGCTTTGTTCATTACTACTAGTACCACCTACTAAGGTACCTAGGTAGGTAGCAGGCAGTATTTCTCCTTTGTTACTCGTCACTCCGGATTCCTGCTCCTTTGGATCTCACATCCTCCCATTCGATTCGATGCCCTTTCAGACCGGTGGCCGCGTACCGCTCTAGTACAAGGACGGTAAGTTCAGGCACTTGTCGCAGCCAAAAGCGGTGCTAGCAAGAGGCACATGGCAGCGAACTTGGAACCCAATCGAAGATGAGGCTGTACGGTATCGCTACATGGCCGGTACTTGGGCCCAGCTGGCCTCGTACTGGTTCTTGCATTAAACTTTCCGACGCTGCTCGTTCTCCATCTTCACGCACTCCGCACTTGTACCTGTACCACCTCCGCTCCTCACCAAAGACAACCCTTGGTCAAATCTCGGCCATCAGCCGTCGGGCTTGTTCAAGATTTTTCTGCTGTCTGCTGGTATCCGTATCCGGCCGTCCTTTGCACCAACAAAATCCCTGTCTGTCAAACAAACGGGTAGGGTAGCAGTACACGTACTTGTACATGCTCGTACTCCGTAACAGTACAGCAAAAAGGTGAAGGAACAGCTGGCCGACCAGGATGATCCCGCTGCACCTCCACGAAAACGTCGGCCGTCGATTTTGCCTGGTCAAATCATCGATCTCGCTCAGCGGACCCCCGTTGTTGGCCGCGTGGAAACGGACTAGCCTCAATGCACGCCCGCGAGCTTCTTCCGACAAAAGGGATGGATGGAAAAGCAACAGGCTGGCTGACACCGCCACACGGCCGGGTTTGTGGTCGACCAGATGCACAGACAGACAGAGCTGTGCTGTGCTGTACCCATGGGCTCCCCTGGGCTTTGAAAAAGGCATCCATCCATCCACTTCCTTTGTGTGTCCCGGCTCGGCCATCATGCAGTAATGTGCCCAGGCAATCTGTGGAACCCGGGTACTAATAATATGGGATAGGATACAACAAAGCCCATAGCCTCGTATTACTCCGTACTCGTACACGGTACTCTGGCTGATTGTAATCATTGTCTAAGCTAAAGCCCGCTTGAGGCTGAAGTAAAAAGTACATGACATGTAAGAATTCGCTTTTACCCATCACACCAGTTAAAGGAATATCCAGCATCTCGTGTCCCAATGGTAATAAGCAGCTATTCGGTGCTAGAATAAGGATGAGGCACCTAGTAGAATGATTTGGCATTAGATAACAAGTCCGCGGTGTGTGTAATATGATGCTACACAAAATTTCAATGGTATTATTGCAAAAGGAAAAAGAAAGAAAGACGCATACCTGAATATCTAAGGCTCTCTAATGACTAAGTCATACTGTACAACTCTGCACCGGTAAACAAAAAAAGGTGGCAAAGAAGAGGATGTGGAGGTATCATGCGAAAGGGCGCCCAAGCCAAGCCAAGCCAAAAAAAAAAAAAAGAATGAATGCCATGTCCCGAATACAAAACGCAGCCATACCACACAAAAACATCAGAGTCGTTAATGCCGTTCGCGTGCCATATGCCCGCCGTCTATCGTCTGCTCTAATTTTCTTGTCCGTCCGCTCAACCGTCTTAGAATGCATCTTCAAAGGGGCAGTCCACGCTGTCATGCCCATCTCGCTCGCATATGGCGCACCACTTCTCGAGGTCCAGGACACCGCTCTCCTTGCCAGCCACGGGCCCTGATTCCATGGGGTTGGGGGTGATCCTGACTGCCGGAACCGATGCGGGCTCCTCCTTGGGAATGCCGGGGGTTAAGACAGCTGGGTGGTGAATCTCGTCACCCGTGGGTGTAAGAGGCTTGAGATCCTCTTGGGCATTTGCTCTCCGCGCCTTCTCCTCAGCTTCCTCATCATCTTCGTCCTCCTCTTGAATGGGTTTGGCATTGGGCTTGGAAATCTTGGTGCTATCGGTGCCAAACATGTTTGTGCATGTCAGGATGTCATGACCACCAGTCTCGCAAATCTCGCACCAAAGAGTGCTACTCTCGGTGGCGGTCGAATAGGTGTCGCTCTCGTGCATCGTATCGAGAGTGCTTATCCGCTTGTGGGACGGCTCCGGCGATCGTGCTTCGTGGGATCGAGTGGACAGGATGGTGTCCCGTGAGTCCCTTACAGATGATCGCCGAATGGGAACAGAGTCGCGGTTGGACTCGCGGTTGGATTCGCGGTTCGGTTTGACGCTATTCGAGCGCAGGAATTCAATCTCGTGCTGCAGCTCCTCCTCCCGGTGACTCTTCTCCTTCAATACCTGCTGGAGCTCAGCCACTTGTCTCTCCAGGTTGTCTCGAGCAATCTTGTTTTCGATGGCATCCTTTTCGCCGATTAATGAACCTGGACGCGGCCTGGGAGTATGGGCCTCGGCGCCAGGGACCGAGTCCCGGCTAAGGGAATGAATAATAGCCTTGAGCCCTCGAATTTCATCTTCCTTCTGCTCCAAGCTCTTAGCTAGTGCAGCACTATCACCACTCAAGGCCGCTGCATTATGGGGGATGACGCGTTCCTTTTCCCGCCGAAGCTCCGAACGGGTCCTCTCAACCTCTCCTCGCAAGAACTCAGCCTCTCCGCGGGCCTCAGCCTCGCCACGACGAGCATCCTCTAGACCCTCTTCGAGTTCCTGAACCAGCTCCTCGAGTTGCTTTAGTTGCGTCGCTACAGAGTCCACATCCAAGTTTCTCGATTCGAGCTCGCGAATATCCGCTATGAGTTCCTCTATCCGCTTCTCATACACCCGCTCGGTCTCTGTGCTGGCCATTTCGAGTGTGTCAATAGTACTCCGGAAATCCGCTCGGTGGGCATCGAATTCTATGGTGAGCATGGCGATTTTGTCATTCTTTTCCCGCAGCATGTGTCGAAGCTGAGATGCATCCTTGTCGTCTATGCTGCTTCGTCTCAATCCCATTCCATCTGGGTTCTCTATCAGAGTTTGAAGTTCTGTAAGACTGCTCTCCATTTCGGCCAATGTTGCGGCTTGCTCTTTCAGCTGTCGGTCGCGGTCTTCTAACTGGGTGCGTAGCCGCTCAATTTCCTCATCGTTGATAGAGGTCGCTCGGGACGGTGGGCGCAATGAGAGCGACCCCAAGTTGGTGTTGATCTTTGCTGGGGGCGTAGACATTGCTACAGGTGCCGGTTCTTCGTCAAAGAGAGGCTCGGGGCCCAGAGACGAAGTGCTACGGGGCCCCCCAAAGCTGGGCCGCCGCTCCATGCCTGGGCCTTTCTTGTTGGGATCGCTCAGGTGCCCGGCAGTCCCGCGCACACTCTGCGAAAATTTACCCGTCGGGCTGCCAAGTCTTGAGGGAGCTCTGACTGCTGGTGCCGAAATCGATGGGCGTGGACCTGGCGACATGGCCATTTTCCGTTGCGGTGACTCAGTCTGCAGTGAAGGTCGTGGTTTCTTGCCTTGCGGGCTCTGAACCCGAGAGGTGGGCCCTGCCGAGGCGCCCAATTTTGAAAGGCCTGATGTCGGAGGCGTCAAGCTGACCGAGTTGTTCATGCTCAGCTTCAGGCCGCTCGAACCAGGCGTGGGCGTCATAGGGGGTGGACCGGAAGACCGTCGGAGGGCCTTGGCAACCGGGACGAAGATGCCAGCACCAGCGGCGTTGGTGGTGAAATAAGAGACGCTGCAAACCCAGACAGACAGAACATGTTAGCGATCGGCTCTTGATGCAATGCGGTGGCGATGCGCCAGGTAGCGCTGCGGCTGGTTCTCTCCTTACCCATCAACGTCGCCGTTATTCTTCCCCCTTGCGGCGAATTCTGAATCCAGCTCGACGCCGACAAATGTGCCCTTCTTGCCCTGGACGGTGCCGACAAAACGGACGGTGCCGACCATGCCTCCAGGCACATTGACAGAGTCGCCGACAGACAGCTCCATGGCGGACGGCGTCTCGGGTTCGGGTTCCTCGTGAATGGTATGTTGGGGCGCTGCGTTCAGAACTGAGTCGATGGCGTAGCTCTCGCTGACATCGGGGATGCTGGCGAGGGAGCTCGGAGTCAGGGCCGCGAGCGACGTCTTGCGCAGCAGCTTGGACTGCGAATAGGCGGCTGCCAAGTCCGGTGTCGAAGCTGTCTTGGAGTTGGAGAGAGAAGGTCGTC